CTTGTTGCACTTGTCTTTGAAAGTTTGCAGTTACTTCCACTATCATTAAATCATAATTATTATTAATCATTTTAATTATTAAATCATAACTACAGACACTTAAAAACATACATTTATTATTTTATTAATATATGCATGCATTTTAAATAAATTACCAAGCTAATTAGCTCATTAACTCGATACATATGTTAATTTATTAGTGAAAATTAGTAATTAATATGATTGCTTTGCTACTTTTAGTAAAGTAAAAAAAAAAAATTCTTTTACTAATTGACGATGTTTTTTAATAGAACGTGTAAAGCCCATGGAAAGAAATTATTGCCTTTTTAGAATAATAATGCCCTTTTTTTAAACTTTTGCACCCTGCCCTTTTTTCTGCGTAGAATGAGCTCTGGTTCAACGGCGGTTATAAAAAAAATAAAACTAATAATCAAATTGTATTTTCTTATGTTCTTTCTAACTCCTTGCTTATTTCTGACACACCTTCATAATTTCATGTTTCTAAGTCGTAGAGCAGCAAAGCGAAATGTAACGTTTAAAAAAAAAAAAAATTAGAAAAAAAANAAAATTAAAAAGGAAAAAAAAAAAAAAAAATCATTTAAAACTCCAAATAACATAGATTCAGAATTTTAAGAAAAAAAAACAAACTCTGTTAAACATATAATGGTTCTTCTAACATACCAAATCTTTACTCTGTGCTTATGATGTTCTTAAAATGAGTTTCTGTTTTTTTTCTCGTTCAAAAAATATGTGTAATAATAGAAAGGCTCTACATTATAGTCCCATCACAATCAATATATTTAACAATCAAGCAATATTATCAAATTTTTAATAATATAATGTTAATATTCAGCAATAAAAAATACGACAGTTTACTTTAGGAGTATAGAAATAGAATTGAACTTAAAAGGGCCCCATCATTTTCAGTAGCTTAGGTCCCCGCCAAGCTTAAATCCAGCTCTGCCACCTGCGCAAATAATAATCACCACCACAACGTCAAATTTACTTCTCCAATTAAACCTCCTCCTTTTTGCGATATGCTCAATTATGAAGCTGTTATATTAATCATCATAATCCACCAAATATCCACCTCTAATACAATCTGGCCTACGTCACTCAATACGCTCGATTTTCCCATAATTCTATTTACATCTCCGTGATACTATTAAACAACTAAATGTCAATCTAAACTTACTTCTACAGATTGCAAACTTCATCGCTCTTCCAAACATCGCCGATGTCACCAAATCCATCGTGTAACGTATAGTATGATTTACCCAATTGACGAAAAAATAACTTGGATTTACGATGAAATGTGCCCAAATAAATTGTATCAAAAAGTGATTATGCATGATTAGAAGCTCGCGTGTCGTAATAACATCGTAGTTAAAATCCGGGATCGTCGAAATCACGTGGAAAAGCATAGAAATAATTGGAACAAAAAAGGAAAAAAATAGAAGAAAAATCACTTAAATTTACAATGAAATCAGCACGAATAATGCACGTCAATAAGTAACTATTTAAATACGCGATTTATAATTCACAAGTTGTAATAAAATTATCAAAATTTTTAAAACCATGTGGGATTGCATAGCAATAACTTCCGAAAAATGGTGGAAAAATAACTTGGATTTACGATGAAATCGGCGCAAATAAAAGACTCCAAAAAGTGATTACTTGAATGTGCGATTTGAAACTCGTGTGTTCTTAATAAAATCGTAATAAAAATACGGGATTTTTCAAAATCACGTGATAAAGCGTAGAAATAACTAACTGCTTAAAAAAATCATTTAGATATGCGATAAAATCTGCACAAAGAAAGCGCATTAAAAAGTGATTATTTAAATGCGTTATACGACTTCAAGATTCATAATAATATTGTATTAAAAATATCAAGATTTTCAAAACTATATAAAAATACAATGTTAAAAAATAACTTGAAATTTTGGATGAAATCGGCAGAAATAAATTACGTCAAAAAGTGATTAATTAAATGTTCGAATCATAACTTACGAGTCAGAATATAGTAGTATTAAATGTATCGGCATTTCAAAAACCGCATGGAGATTGCTATTTATAACTGCCGAAAAACGATCGAAACGTTAGAGGATCGGCAAAGAGAGTCAAAAAGTGATTACTTAAATTTAAAATTCGTGTATCTTAATATCGTATTTAAAATAATTTTTTATAAACAAATCAGATTTCTGGAGTCGAAACTGTCGAAAAAGGGATCGAAAATCAACATAAAATGAAATCTGTGCAAATTCAGCTCGTCAAAAAGTGACGACTCAAAGGTAGAATTTCTAACATTTTTATTTTTTGTAAAAAAAATATATATTTTTTCATTTTGATTGAAAGCTTCCTTAGGCTGCAGGTTGTGTACTCCTAGTTTAAACTGTTGACCCCTAGAATAATTTTTAACCTCAAAGAAATTTTTTTTTATGTTTTCTTTTCCAAATTCAATTTTTATTCTTAGTTATAAATTTTTACACGTTTTTACATTGTTTTAAATTTTTACAATATTTTGCTAAATTTTTTCTTTTTAAGAAAATTTTGAAAGTAAAAGGATTTTATGTCTTAGGGGTTTTTGTATTCCGGGTGTACCCCGGAATTCCAGGTTTTTCGTATAATTCCTCCAGATCTAGAAATTAGTAGCAAGGCATGTGATTTTTCTGCAGAATTCCGTGTATCTCAAGACCATTGATTTGCGGACTTCCACGAATCAGAACTTATAATCCGACGAAATTTTCACCGCAATTTAAAATTTAGAGTAAGAATTAAGTTCTACAATCTAAAATTTAAATTTGGAAACCTTCGCTGAATCGCGTTGACGAGATGTTTCCAAACACGTGACTCTTCCACAATTATAATTTTTGGCTTGTCGGATTTTCACAGTTTTTAATGCTTGAAATTATGCCGGAATCCTCTAATATTCAGATTCATAATCACGCAATTTTAATATCTAACATCGATTTTCGTATTTAACTAATTTAAAAGTTATTCATTGTGAATCATATTCATGCGTTTTAAAAATCGTACATCACGATTCATATTCAAACGAGTTTAAAATCCGATGTCGCTATTCCTATTCACTGGATCTAAAAAATCATGTAAATCGCGATTCTTATTTACGCGATTAAAAAATCCAATAATGCGATTTGTATTTTCGCGTTCTTAAAATCCAGTGTTTGTAAGAATTGTAAGAGCTAAGTTTTTTATTTAATTAGTTACTATAAAAGTGTAATATTCTTTATTGATAAGTAATTTAATTATAAAAAAATTACATTAACTATGAATAGTATATAAATTGATATCTTATCAAGTTTTTACACATAAAATTTTCAGGACTTTTTAGTTTGTGTCACAATCACCCCTGATGTCTTATGCATGCATTGCTCTTACCCCTCCTCCTCCCATATTAAAATAAGCTAATCACAAACCCGCATTAAGTGTTTATGTAATATTTGAATGGCCCCATATCATTAGATTTCTGCAAATTTGTTTCCAATTATTTATTTTTAGAAATCAAGATATCAAGATGAATTCGAAGGCTCTGTTTCGGATGCTTTTCCATGTTTTTACAACTTTTGTATATTTTTGTGCCATAATAAGGTATGAGTATCTGCCTCCTATGCCTCATAAAAAGCCACAGGATCACTTTGCTGGACGACTCAAATATCTCACTTACTGGAATTTGGTAAAAAAAATGTAATTTTATCATTATAAATGTGTATCATTAAACACTTTTAATTTAAATGAAAAATTTTCCTTAAAAACTTCAAAAAATTATGTTGAATGATTTAACATGATTTTTTTTTAAAAGAAAAATTGTTGTATTGTATCATTTAATTCATCTCAAATTTAGATTTCCTTTTTCTCAAAATTCTTTTTGTGAAAATTCTAGGTAGAGCTTTACTTTTAATCACAAAAAGATTTATTATTTGGAAGTATAAAAAGTATAAAAGTGAAAAGGAAGTATAAAAGTAAAAGGAAGGATAAAAGTAAAAATGGGCAGGCTACGTTATCAGAATGGACGAAGACCGTACCACATAAAGAGTTTTCAATGCCAGACCAGTTGGTACACGAAAATGAGGCAGGCCGAATTTGAGATGGATAGATGGCCTAGAAAGAGACCTTTTGGTCTTAAAAACAAAAAATTGGAAAACCCTAGCAAAAAAAATAGGTTAGCCTGGATAAAACTTCTTGATGCCATTGATGATGATGATGATAAAAAGTAAAAGGGCACCTGTCGAAGATCAACGGGAAATTTATCTCCCTTTTGCAGTTTTACAATAGACTGATCCTGAGACGCATTTCCCTGTCCGTCACTATAGTCAATCACACACAGTTAGTAAGTGGGTGAGTGACCACTTTAATCAGCCTGCAAAGAGTCTGAGGATGCGCTGTATTGGTCCTCATTAAACTGTTCTACCGTAAAGTCAAATTACCAGAGCGGAAGAGCTATTCTCTCTTTGCACAGGATAAAAATTGTCATGTCTACGCATCATTTTGAGGGATGTTTCCCAGACTATTGCTCATAGCCCACTGTGGAGTAGTGCGATGGAATTGGAATTTTTTACTATTTTTTTTTCTTCATAAATTTATTAGATTACAAAATAGTATATCTAATTTGTGATTATATCATGTTGTTAAAGAGCTTTAGGCCTCCATTTAGGCAATGCTTGAATCAGTTGATGCACTTCTTATTGAATTGTGCATTATAAAAAGGAGCAATTATAGTCTATTCTTTTTATGTCTCTGAATCGGAGAATGTTTTAACATTGTTTTATAAATTTTAGTAATAAGAAATTTAAATTGTTTTTTAGTTAGCTTCTTTTATTTTGTCATCATTGCATAATTATTTCAGTTTTTGAATATTATAATATATGAAGATTTAGTAACTAAATTTTCAAGCAGAAAATAAAATTTTTTTTTTTAGAAAAAAAATGATTAAAGAATACATTTTTAGAGTTTGTATAACGTTAAAGAAAAAGAAAAAAAAACTTTTGCCTAAATAAGTACAACTAATAAAATATTAAGTTATTTAATTTTTGATTTTATTGCTTTATTTAAATTCTTAAAATCGTTTTATTCAATTTTAACGCATTTGGAAATAAATACTAGCGTTTGTAATTTATTTTTTTTCAAAAAAACTTTATTTTCGTTTGCTTTCACTGCTCTAGTTCTAAAATTGTTAGAAGTGTTAGCCTATATTCTTTGAAAATCAAAGACATTTGTTGCTATAAAGCCAAATCATATCATTGTATTATATTTTTATTGAAAATTACATAAATTTCAGATATTTTTAGTTTTGATATAGATTTATAATGATTTCAGCTCTTTCTCAGTATTTGTTATTTATCTTTCAGCTGGTACAGTTTTTGTTTTTCACTCTCTCTTCCATTATGGATTTTATGAAAACTTCATCTAGCAGTTACAACAAACTAACTAAGCTACGGGATAAATTTTATGCTGGGATCGTCTTACCATATGGCGTGGTATGTTCTGTTTCCAATAAATTTGTAGAACTTTTTTATAAATACAGTACGAAACCTGTTATCCGGAAATCAATAAATTTTCCCGCCATTTTTTTAAAAAAATTTATTTTTTTTCCTCATAAGATTTTAGGATTTTTCTTTCTTTTTTGAAAGATGTTTACCTTACCATCATTTTGGAAATAATCATTAGTGTATTACTTCATCGTTTTTTCTTCTTTTTAAGATTATTTCCAAATATTTTTTTTTCAGTTGGGTTTAACAATAAAAAAACGGCTTTTTGAAGTGATTCAATAAACCGGAAAAATCATTTATCCGAAATAGCGATGGTCCTGATCGTTCCGGATAATCGGTTCCCTACTGTACAATTTTTAATTGTTGGTGTTTCTGCACTTGATATAAATTAAATATTGTTCCCAAACACTTCTTTTCTCTTCATAATATTTTTTTCTCTTAACCATATGTATGTATATTGTCTGTTTTGAAAAATTTTGTAAATTAAAATTTTAAATTTTACTCTTACAAATATAATCTTGGTGACTGTTTAAATTAGGGTTTGCAAAAAACCAGGTTTTTAAGAAAAAACCTAGGCCATGTGAGTTTTTTCATGAAGGAACACAATTTTGAGCAGGGGTCAATAGATTTTTTGGGGGAATTTTTTTATATGAAAAGAACCAATTTCGCCTGAAGATATGAGTTTTTTCAAGTATACTCTACTTGTAAGATATATTACTCAATGAAAAATTATTGCTTGTTTATTACCAAAGGATTAGTAAAAGAAAGGGTTATGTAAATAACTAATTCAGTAATTTTTATGTCTACCAAATGTATAATGAATTAAATAAAAGTTACTGAAATGATTCTTTGCAAAATATACCAAAGGGATTAATAAAAGAAAGGGTTATGTAAATAACTAATTCAGTCATTTTTATGCCTACTAAATGTATAATGAATTAAATAGTGAAGTTTCTGAAATGATTCTTTGCAAAATATACCAAAGGGATTAATAAAAGAAAGGGTTATGTAAATAACTAATTCAGTCATTTTTATGCCTACTAAATGTATAATGAATTACATAGTGAAGTTTCTGAAATGATTCTTTGCAAGATATACCAAAGGGATTAATAAAAGAAAGGGTTATGTAAATAACTATATAATAACTATATAACTAATAATTCAGTCATTTTTATGCCTACTAAATGTATAATGAATTAAATAGTGAAGTTTCTGAAATGATTCTTTGCAAAATATACCAAAGGGATTAATAAAAGAAAGGGTTATG